CCGATCCCATCATAAGAAATAATAAACAATATGTTCTGTTTTAACTAATATTACATGAAAAATGTAGATGATGGTGGATATGACCCAGGAAGACGTGAAACTTTATGGTTTAAAAATCTACATATATCGTTTAATAAATAGACTATAAACCTTCTGGATGTCAAATACAAATTGCTGTAATGATCGCAAATATTTGAAATGAGTAGGCGCTTTAAGAAGAATAAGAAATAGACTCATAATAGCGGTAACATAATATTGTGGAAGCTTTTAATGCGGCGACGTTTGGTACCTTCTCTGTTTAACGATAGGATGCCTGTGCAAAGCGTTATAGTTGGAAAACAGTTTCGTTTAGTAAAGTGTAGGGTGTTATTTGCTAAAATTTAATTATTTTGAATATACGCTGTGGCTTGCATCCATGGGACAATGTGGTTGAAAATATTACGTACGATAATAACACTGATTTTGTAGAAAGTGTCAGTGTTGCTGTAAACGTAATTCCTAAAAAAAAGTACGCCTAAAGAAAATTTGAATATATTTAAATGCTGAATCAGAGCAAGTATGTTTCAATGTGTACCAAAATCTACATAAAAAATTCGGCTTTGATAAAAAAAGTGCTGGTACAAGCAACTTGAGATTTAATACAAATTCCATTTTTAACTGTGTACAAAACATCTCAAAATGAACCTTTCATCGCACGAAAAGATGTGACTACAAATTTTCAAGACCTATAGATGAATACAGATTTCACCTATAGATAAAATTCACAATATACGATTACCACAGAAGCAATGAAAATACATCATCATCATCGTCATCATTATCATCCAGCCTTTATTTATCATGTCCACTGCTGGACATGGGGCTCAGTATGTTTCTCATGCATAGTACTTTGCAACAAAGCAGTGAATAACTTGGAGAGATGGTATCTCCTTTCCTAATACCCCTCTCGAAGCTAAATGTATTTGTGTTGCCATAACACATTCTAGCTGCAGCTGTTGCGCTATTATATATTCCGAAGAAGATTTGTGTACCTATGATCAATACTGCACTCTGTAAGAGCTCTTAACATGGAGCTATGCTGGACTGAGTCAAACGCTTTTTCAAAGTCTACAAATATTAATATCAATGGCTTGTGTATTCTGTAACTTTCTGTACTAAGGATTTTATTACTTGTAGGTGGTCATTCGTTCCAAAGCGACTCCTAAATCCAGCCTGCTCTAATGGTTGGTGAAAATCCAGCTTAGGTTCGAGTCTGTTAGTAATTATTCTCATAAAGAGCTTATATAAATAAGGTAATAAGCCGATAGGTGTGTAGTTTCCAATTTCTGTTACATCTCCTTTTTTGTGCAATATTATCATAATGGAAATATTCAATTTTTCTGGTGTAACTCCTTCAAAGAGGCAGGCATTATAAAGGGTTTTAAAGCTTTTATGACGCATTTGTCTCCTAATTTTAGCATTTCACTTACAATTCTGAAGAACAACAAGGTTTTACAAAAGGGCGGTCTATAACAGACGCAGTATTTATAATAAAACAAATAAAAGAAAAAGCTATAGAGTTCGGCATGCCAGCGTATATTTGCTTCATTGATTTGACGAAGGCATTTGACAGAGTTCGCGTCGGAGACATTCTAAATATATTAATAGAAAATGAAACACCAACCAGTATAACAAAGATACTCCATAAACTAAATAACAACAACGTAACCAAAGTTAGAGCAGGAGACGAATTCACTGAAAATATTCCAACACCGGGAGGAATTAGACAAGGCGACAGTTTAAGCCCCTTCTTGTTTAATCTTCTCATGGGCAAAATTATCAACAAAGTAACATCTCTTAATCTCGGATATAGAATGGGCAACAAAAGAATTGGTATGGGTGTGTTACGCAGGACGATGCAGCAATTATTGCCGAATCAGAAGATGATCTCCAAAGGCAGCTCTTTCAGTTCTTTCAAACAAGCCGACTACTAAATCATGAACATCTCTACCAACAAAACTAAATGTATGACAATAGCAAAAGATCCGCTCAGATGTAAGTTAGTGGTTGAGGACAACCCATAGAACAGGTGATGCAATTCAGATATCTGGGCATAGATATATCAAGCACCCACGACCCAGTAAAGGACCTGAGGAGTCAGATCAACAAAGCATCTGCACTGTCAGGATGTCTGCGGGAGATAGGTCTGGTCAAATCCGTATATGCGCACAGATAGTAAAATTAGAATCTATAAGACTTGCATACGACCGATCATGACATATGGCATAGAAGTGCGCGAAGATACTAACAAAACGAAACAGATGCTAAGAGTTGCCGAAATGAAAACCCTAAGAACAATAATGGTGAAAACAAGAAGAGACAGAGCGAGAAATACAAACATTAGAGAGCAGTGCAAAATTCAAGATATTGTAAGATGGGGAAGGCAGCGCAAGAGGATGTGGTACAACCATGTAAGACGAATGGATGAGAATAGACTCTCAAAAATTGCCCTAGAAAACAATCCGCCGATTCAAGACCCCGGAAGACCACCTAAAAGATGGAGGGATAGTTGGCAATCTACCTCCCAAGAAATTAACCAGAGGCAGCTTCCGAATTATACAGATCGAAAGATCTACAAAAAGTAGTAAGAAGAAGAAGACTTACAATGCCATCTTCTTCAGGTGATTTTCTGTTCTTCATATCTTTCAACGCTGATTCGATTTACTCTAAGATTATATCTAGAAGTTCTTCTGATCCTTGATTTTGTATGGCTGGTATTTCCACCTCTGGAATGTGAGCATCTCGACGATATAATGTTCTATGGTACTCTTCGATAATTTTCGTAATTTCTTGTTGTTCATATACAGCATGTCCTTGTCTATTTTTTAGCTTATAAATGTGTCTGCTTCCTGTCTTCAACTTTCGTTTTAGAACGTTAAGGCTTTTATTTTGTTTTATGGTATTATGACGGGTTGGTAGACGGATGTTAGGATGGGTTAGGAAATTTTGGGGTCTTTGACAAGAATGATAGGTTGGGAAGTGATACCCTCTCGGTTAAAGGGAGTGAGAGGGAACCACGGCTCACGTAGGTAGGGCAGGGTCGCGGACCTGTAGTAGACCTAAGTTTATCGGGATCGTAAAGTGTATCTTCCTGTTACCCATTCTACCCGTTACCCATAAGTTCACTATGGTCAAATCGTGGTAATAAGTTCACTATACCTATGGTCAATTCGGCTGTCATTCATTGCTTCTATAAGGCTGTCTATTTCGATCGTGTCAAACGCTTTATGTAAATCTATGAAAGTGAGGACAAGAGGTTTGTTGTATTCTATAGATTTTTCAATGAGTGTCTTTACTGTGAGATGATCAGTGATACCATAATTTGATCGGAATCCTGCCTGCTCTCTCGGTTGGTATAAATTTTTTCTCCAATCTTGATATCACTAATCTAGTGAAGAGCTTGTATATGTGGTTCAACTATCTCTTTTTTATGTAAAAGTATGGTTATAACGTTGTTTCCAATCTTTGGGCACCTTTCTTTGCTGCAAAATATAGATTAAACAGTTTTATTAATTTATTTAATAGCATATCACCTCCATTTAGGATAGCTTCTATTACAATTCGATCCTTTCCTGGGGTTTTGTAATTTTTTATTTTTCCTAATGCTTGTCGAATCTCATCTACGTTTATCTCTGATATTAGTTGTTCGAAACCTTGATTCATGATCTTCTTTGAAATGGCCGTTTGTATTCCTGTTTAATCTTCTCGTCCACTTCCATATAATTTCTCGTAAAAGTCTTCGACGACCTTTTTAATTAATTAGTTTCACATTTTCCGTTCGTTAGCTTTCTAGGTAGAACTTTTAGGCTGTTATTTTCCTGTATAGTACGTTAAATACTATAGGCTTTTATATTCCCTTAAATCTTTCCTGATTGCCTTCGAAATGGTTTTATTCATTTCTCTAAGAGTGTGGCTGTTCTTCTTCAAGTGCCATCTCCACGGCGGGGGTCGGCAATCATCATAGCTATTCGGACTTTTGAGACGGCTGCTCTGAAAAGTTCATTTGATGTACATCCGTACCACTCTCTCAGGTTGTGCAGCCATGACATTCTACGCCCCCCTATGCTTCTTTTTCCTTGGATCTTTCTCCTGCATAATCATTTGGAGCAAGGTGTATTTCTCTTCTTACGTGTAATATGTCCGAGATATTCTAATTTTCTTGTTTTTATTGTATTTAAAATTTTCATTTCTTTGTTCATCCTTCACAGAACCTCTTTATTTGTAACGTGTTCTGTCCACAACATTTTCAGAATTCTTCTATACACCCACAGCTCGAATGATTACAGTTTTTTTTTATTGATGTCGCATTTAAGGTCCAAGATTCCATTCCATAAAATAAAGTCGAAAAAGCATAGCATGTCGCCAACCTAACTCTTAGTTCCAGTTTTAAATCCCTGGTACATAGCACTCTTCTCATTTTGTTGAAATTTGCTCTAGCCTTTTCTATTCTTATTTTGATTTCCTGATTGTAATCATTTGTGGAGTTAATCATTGTTCCCAGATATGCATATTTGTCCACTTGTTTGACGTTGGTTCCGTTTATTAGAAGATTCTCGTTATTTCTTTGAGTTTTCGATATTTTCGCATAAATTTCGTCTTCTTGTGGTTGTTATCGCTTCGCAAATAGAAACTAAAATAGCCCAATAATTTTATTTAATTTATATATATTTATCTTTATATTTGCCATTATTTAAGTTTATTGGAGGATGATATAATATGATAGTTGATCATTTTTAATTAATGAACTTTTATCAGTATTCTATATCTAAACTTCCAAATTATCAGGTTTTTTCTGTAAGAATATTTTGAGATACTCTCGTAAATACGTTCTATGGATTATTTTGGCTATTATTTTGGACTATTATATATATATATATATATATATATATATATATAAATATATATATATATATATATATATATATATATATATATATATATCCTATATCATCCTTTTTTAGGATTTGACAAGACAGACATCGAGAAAGAGCTTCCCAAACAGACTGTCAAACAAATCCAACATGAAGAAGAAATACTTAAGTCTGAAAAATGGTATAGCATTCTAACACAAGTTAGTGTTCCTTTCTTTATAGCTGGTATAGGTACCATTGCGGCGGGAACTGTTTTGGCAACTGTAACGGTAAGTACTAGAAATTAGTATTAATAATTTATAGTGTTAAAAACATACATATATACTTGTAATATATATAGTGAGACTAAAGAAGACTGTAATTTTTTTTACAATTAATTGTGGTATAACCCCAATTAAAATATTATTAAACCCAAATATGCCACAAGAAAACAGCATCAAAATCTCTTTAATCAATAATTTGTTCAATGATTCCAATCAATTGGAAAAATTTAAACTTTTTAATCTAGGTCTCAAACTGAGTGTTTAAAATATTTCATAAAAATGAGATGTTATGTAAAATTATTAATCAACAACATCACCGAATAGTTAGAGCCAAATTAGAGATAAAACATAATAAAAATAGAAATAAATTTAGAAAAACTTGGATATAGACACAGATAAACTAAAATCTAATATAGAACAATATAAGAGCAAGTTAAATTCCACGAAAGTATTAAATTTAGATAAACTTCATAAAAAAAGAAAGTCATAACAAAAGAACTATTAAATGCAAGCTCAGAAGTGGCAACCGCTAACAGAAAACGAATATCCAAAATAAGTGTAGAATTACAAAATATGCTGAAACAAAGAAAAGATCTTGAGACTAAACAAAAAAAACACTGCAGATTTGAGGAACTTAATGGAGTAATAAGAAACAGATAAAAGCGGACATTAAAAAACATCAAGAAGACCGTATTAGAACAAATCATAGAGAAAAACGAAGTCTCAAAGGGCGCTCCGTGACAAACGGCGAATACGCCAAATGGGCATTTTGAGAAAAACGCGATTAAAGTTGAAAAAGTGTTTTCAATTCAATAAGGGCGAATATACACGTCATCAAAATTTTGTAATGCGGTTAGGTAAAAACTATTTTTTTTATAAAAAGTTTTCCTTGTTAAGCAAATAAGATCACCCCATCTAAACCAAAATTATAATTCAGGATATTGAAAAAAGTTTTATTCAAAGGATATGATATGAAAAACATTTTTTAATTAAAAATTGTTCTGTTTAAGATAAATCAAAAACTAAAAAAACACCAAACAATAAATTATTAATTCAAGCAAAAATCCATAACATCATCCTGACTTTCTCCAGTTAGCGTTGCCAAATTGGTTTGTGATTCTTGGAGAGAGATCAGCTCATCAAAGAAACTCCTATGATGAAGCGGTATGTATGGAAGAAGTGACTTGATGTCTTTTATTTTTTCCTCTGAAAGTTTTATAGGCTGTTGGTATTTAGGAGACAAAACTGCGGCAGATAAATCAAACAAATGGCGTTGATATTCTCCTACTTTTCCTTTCTGCAAAACAACTTGTTCGGACAAAACATTTTGGTACGTTGGTTGTATGGAAAACCCTTGTTTGAACAACTTGGAGTAAAGAAATACTTTACCATCTTTAAAACTAGCAGTTGATTTTCTTTTTGTAATTAACTTCTGAAGAGCAGTGAAATCAAAAAACATTGATGATGTCATTTTTACTACTTTGAATGGTCTGACCTTCCTTGATGAACGAATTAAGTCAATATAGTGGTCTTCAGAATAAACATCAATATTTCGAAGCCTTAACTCAATGTGACCAAAATCCCTGTCACAAGGTAAATATGAATGTCCAGGAATCATAAAGTAATGTTCTATGAAATCAAATTTTAATTCATGAATTTTTTTCAAACAAGCTAAAACAATGTTCATATTTTTGTTCTGGCCGCCACAATTGTCACTAAATAGCACAACTTTTTTGACTTGATGATCCATAGAATCAAAGTAATGGGACAAGCAGCTTGCTATTTCACATGAACCACGACCTCCAGTACTTTCATTCCACATGTACATAACACATTTTCCAGATTTAACATCATGGACTGCAAAATTGTAGGTCCAAAGCTTCCTTTTGTAATACTGTACAGATGTCGTCAGTTTAGGGGTAGGGAGAGTTTGCTGCAGATCTATACAAATTGCTGAAACTGAGTCTTCATTATTACTTTTATAACTTTTAAGTATTTTTTGAACTGCTTTGGCTCGTCTTAAATGAAGTTCCTTGGCAACTTGTAATTGGTTACGTTGTAAATCATCACAATTTGAAAGTTCCATATCTGTTTTGTCACAAAAATTACAAGTATCCGACTTAGGAGGGTTGAAACCAATATTGAATTTTTTATTAAATGTGTCACGATAGAACCGTGAGCTGACAGGTTCAATTAAAGGGTGATTTTCTGTCATCCACTCACAGTACAGGTCATACAACTTGTTTATGTTTAAGTCTGTGGAAAGGTACTTTCGGTAAGGGCTTTTTGCTCTGCTGTAATGGCTTGAACATTTGGGTAAACTATTTACATGTAACATTACAGTTTCTTTCATTTCTACACTTACTTTGTTAACTGGATTTTTATTTCCTCTTCTGTCCAATTCTACAGTGCCACTTGTGGATACTTTATTCAAAACAGTTCGAACCCTCTTTTCAGTGACACCATGAATCGCATAGAATGCTTTTCTGCAGACTTTAAATTCATTGCTTTCAAAAAGTACACTGTACTCAATACTACGTAACTTTCGACTAGGTCGATTTTTAATGCGACAACGGTTGACAGAAACAGATTTCACTCTTTTAGATAAGTAAGTGTTTTGTAGGTTATACTCAGATAATTCCCAAAAGTTTTTAAAAATTATACTAATTTTCTCCAAACCTACTTTCTCAAAACATCCACAGGAACAGGGACTTCCCACAGTCCGCTTAGGCACAAGTTTTCTGTTTTTAATGGTGCTGTATTCTTCACCTGAGTTTCTTTTAACTTTATTCACATTCTTTTGCCACGTGTCTTCAGTTTTCGACCTTTTTCTAGTGTAGCCTTTGTTTTGGTCTTCTGTAAACTCGCTTTCTGACATTGTAGCAGTAAAATTTTAACTTTATTAGTAAAGTAACTCAAACTATTCAAACTAATCAAAATAAAAACTACTTGTTTTGACAAGCAAAACGACACTGTAGCTTAAAACGGTAAAAATAAGACGGAAATCACGGAAATTTTATTCAGAAATTTGGCAAGACAGAAGTGGGAGGGCTAGCTGTGTACCGACGTAGCGGTGGCGTATTCGCCGTTGTTCCACGGAACATTTACCATACTTTTTAAGATTCATACAGTTTGCTTCCGTTAAGTCAACCTATTATAGTTCTGAATAGAAAGGACGAATAAACCATGTTATGGTGGTACATTGTTCGAATAATGATCAGGCTATCCATTGCATTAAAAAAAAACTGTAACTGGCGTATTCGCCCTTTTTCCTCGGACGCACAATATGCACGTAACTGAAATTAGGAAAAAAACATAAATAACCATTCAAAATGAAAAAAAAAATAAATCTAAAATGCAAATAATGAAAAGTTCTAGCCGATATGTCTGTTCAGAAACGATTCCTCTTCTCGCGGCGGAGAAGAAGCCATCACATATCTAAAAATATTACTTAATAAATGTATATTCCAAGGTAACATACCCAAACAATGGAATACTGCTAAACAATACTAATACACAAAAAGGGAGACACCACAGATCTGAAAAATTATCGACCAATTTCACTTCTTTCACAACTTTACAAAACCTTCACAAAGATTATTACAAACAGGTTAACAATTAAATTTGACGGATATCAACCAGTAGAACAAGCCGGATTTAGAAAAGGGTACAGCACCTGTGACCATCTATACACTTTAAAAATCCTAATAGAAAAGACTAACGAATACAATCTCCCATTATGTCTGGCTTTTATAGATTATGAAAAAGCTTTTGATAGCGTAGAACTGTGGGCAATAGAAGAAGCATTAGTCAACAACCGGATCGACTCCAGGTACAGAATACTAATACATAATATTTACGAACAAGCTGAAATGATAGTGACATTGGGTAATGGAGTCAAAACAAGACCAGAAAAAATCAACCAAGGAGTAAGACAAGGGGACACAATATCTCCAAAAATTATTTACAGATGCCCTAGAAGATATCTTTAAGTTAATAGACTGGGAAAATAAAGGAATCCCTATTAACGAAAGATACTGAACCATCTTAGGTACGCAGATAATGTCGTACTAATAGCCGATACGTGGAATGTACTGAATACGATGATTGAGGAGCTGCAAACAGAATGTCTAAAAAAAGGACTGAAAATTATATTTCAGCAAAACTTAAACTAATGTCCAAAAAAGATGACAAAACTGTGAGTAAACATCGAAGGGACAGAGATAGAACACGTAGATGAAATATACATATCTGGGTTCAAAATGTCAAGAGTAAGCAAAGAAAATCAGACTACCGAAATAAGCAGATGTGTAAAAAAGGGATGGGCAGCATTCGGAAGACTCTCAACGATAATGCACTTAAAAATAAACATATACCATCAAAGGACTGCGAACCAAAATGTTTTAATTCCTTGTATCCTACCTGTGCTTGCATATGGAGCTCCAACCTGGACATTCACTAAAATAAACATGGAGAAGATCAGAAAAACCCAGAGGGCTATGGAACGACAGATGCTGGTATCTCACTATAAAGACCATAAAACCAATGAAGACATTCTTAAAAGAACAAAAGTAAAAGATGCTGTTGAACACGCAGCTAAACTGAAATGAAAATGGGCTGAATATAACGAACGTCTTACGGATGGCCGATGGAATAAAGAATTTGGAATTGGCGGTCATATGAAGCCAAAAGACCACGAGGAAGACCGCAAATGCGATGGAATGACGATATTAAAAGAACTGCAGGCCAATGTGGAAACGTCTTACAAATAACCGAGATGAATGGCCAAAATTAGGAGAGGCATATATTTGGCAATTCGAATAGAGAAAAGGGCTTAAAAAAACATAGTAATGGATACAAAGAATGTATGTCAATAAAGGTCGGCTTTTGGGCTTAATCTCCAAACATGAAATAATTGTTTAAAAATTTGTTGGAATTTCCAAGACGGTATTTCAAAAAATCACGAACAAAGCTCGAGGGAAAACGTACTCTTTATTATTTTTTTA